TCGAGACCCTTCGTGGTTGGGGACAGTGTGGCACTGTTCCACATCACTGTACCTCGGCTCTTGGGGTTTGTAGGAGTTGGGAGTCATTCCCAACTCGTAACTCTTCACATCTCTTCCTATTTTGTGTTCTAAGACTATAGTGGCTGCCATAGTGCCGTTCGTTCAAACCATTACTGTGTCGTCAATACTTGGTAAAATTGTGCGATCTAAATTGTCTATTGTAGACGACGTTCAGACGCTCCAGATCCAAGTTGAATCAGGTCATTTGAAGTTGTGACCAGAACGCTATGAACGTTTGAAGCCGCTGTGCAGAAATCCGGTTGTGCACTCTATCTTTCGTTTTAGGCACATTGGAGCCTATTGTGACTATAACACTGTGGTCGACCAGGGGCGCCTGCTAGTCGACCAGAGGGATCTGGGGGTCGACCAGAAGTAGTGTTGGTCGACCGGAAGCACCTGGTGGTCGACCGGGTCGATCAAGTAACCTGCACGCGAATGTCGTCGAGGTCGCGATGGCGAAGGCGACTGCGGGGCTGGTATCCGGAAGTCAATGTGGCTCATCAGGCGCAGACAACAGCCGATGGATGCCCAACGAGGCAAGCCGGGCCAATTGTTTGCGCGCCCCTGCGAGCGTGCCGCACTGCTGTGTTCTACGGGGCAATGCTGGACAACCGCCTCTGCTGCAGCGTTGGCACGCCGTCGACCTGCTCCGTTGGCAGGTCGCCCTTCTGCAGTGCTGACGCGGCTCCTCTATGCAACGCTGACAGGCGGTCGACCGAGTTGTGCTGGCGGTCGACCAGGCTAGCTGCAAGGTTGCTAGGTGCCTGATTTAGTAATTCTGTCATTGCTTGTTTCTATTATTCTGTAATCCCAACTTTGCTAGTGGAAATCCTTGCCGATTTCTCCCGTGAATGTGCAAGCACTACGGAACCAAGCAAAGCTATGATCACCTCTAGTAGTTCGTGCCAACCCCCGTAGTCTAGCTCACTACCGTTGTAGAATGACTCTCCGCATGCGCGACAGCGCGCACGGCGCAACGCTATAACTGCAAGGTATCGTTTCCTAGACACGATCTTTGCGCCTTGTCACGATGTGTTTGAATATGCTTATAGAATATTATTGAACAATCTAGTTTCCAAATTACAGGTTTAAATAATTCTGATGGATCGTTTCAGATTGTGAAATTTTATAGAAAGTTGTTGTGATTACTACATACACTTTTTACGCATAAGTTTATTGATTTTATTCATTTTCTTATCTTGCTTCACGATGCTCACGATGCTCACGATGTAACGATGTCACGATGCTTACTATGTCACGATGCTCACGATGCTCATGATGTCACAATGCTCACGATGTCACGATGCCCACGATGTTACGATGCTTACGTTGTCACGATGCTCACGATTGCCACGATGCTCACCTTGTCACGATGCTCACGATGTCACGATGCTCTCGATAGTCACGATGCTCACGATGCTCATGATGTCACGATGCTCACAAGGTCACGATGCTCACGATGTCACGATGCTCACGATATTAGTAGATAAATTAGAAAAATTAGAAGCTAGATTGTTCAATGAACAATAATACTATAACTAGATTGTTCTAAAGTTGTAAATATATTCTAATTTGTTCAAAAAAAAAAAATTCGCAACAACGCAACGATGCTACTACACAACCACAGCAACAACGCACGGCGCAAACCGTAATTTACACACTAGATTGTTTCAATGCGCGCGTGTGCAAGTGTTACGAGTGCGTGACTCCGTGACTTGCGCGAGTGCGAGACTGCCAGTGCGCGATTGCGCGGAGCGTGAAAGCGCAAGGTGCTCGAGAGCTCGAGGGCCGAGAGCATGAGTGGGCGAGCGCAGCGACAGTGTGAGTGAGCTACAGCTCGATGTGAGCGACTACAAAACTACGCGAGTGCGCGATAGCGCGAGTGCGCGACAGTGCGAGTGCGCGACCTGCGCGACTGCGCAAGTGCGCGACAGCTACCTCGACAGGCTCGAGTGCGTCTACCTGGGACACACCTGACGGGGCAGGACCCTGATGGGGGAGGGGGTCTACAGGGGGGAGGACTGGCGCAAGGAAGAGCGGCGGCGGGGGGAGGGGCGCAGTGCGGTAGGGGAAGAGACGGTAGTAAGGCACCGACTCGTCAAAGGTGACGGCCTGGGAGGATAGAACACGGCGCGAGGTGGGGTGGTAAAACTACCACCCAGGCGCGTCAGGGGGGAAGCCAAGGAAGATGCAGGGAACAGCACGGTGGGGGCAGCTTGTCCGCAGACAAGTCGCGGACAAATGTCCGAGATCCCCAGACCCGAAACGCAGACGCATCGCCAACCTTCCCCGTCCACCGCAAGGTGGGGGAGGTCTCTGGCAAGGAGACCCGGGGCTGAAGGTTGAGCTGATGCGCCACCGTACTGAACCGCAAACGGCCACACAAAATGGGGGGCAGCCGTATGGATCATGGACGTACGAGCGACGTCCATGACCATGCCAATGCGGCGCTCAGCAATCCCATTTTGCTGTGGAGAGGCCGGAAGCGTGAATGTCTGGCGGATGCCCTGTGCCCGACAGAAGGCTCCCAGAACGAGCAGAGGAAAACTCCCCGCCTCTGCCCGAGTGCAGATGCAGAACAGGAAAGTCCGAGCCGAAACTCTCTCAGAGCTGGAGACGAGCTGCGCGGATCCAGTCGATCAACACCTCAGTGACGTCACCCTTGCTGCGCAAGGGGAAAGACTGTGGTGTAACGCGAGAAGTCGTCAACCACCAACGGGAAGTAACGCTCGTGTCCCTGTCCATGGACGCGGGCGGGGCCCCACACGTCCATGTGGAGAGTTTGCACCGGAGCCTCTATCGGAGGAAACTCGGAGGAGTGAGGGGCGGCACGCTTTCGCCCCTCGACGCAGGGGACGCAGGTAGGGGCAGGCCCGGAGGTAGGCGAGGGAGAGACCGGGGGGAGACCAGAGACAAGGACACGGGAGGGCCATGCCTCGGAGACGAGGCAGGGAGGGGTGACCAAGGCGGTGGTGCCAAAGGAGAGTCTGGTGGGACAGGAGAGGACACGAGCAGGGAGCAGACTCAGGACCAGACCTGAACGCTGCAGCAAACACTTGACCTCGACGCAGCTACCGTGCCAGACTCAGCAGTCGGAGGAGACTCAGTAGTAAGGGTTGTACAGGCTCGACCCTGGCCAACGGGTGAACGTGGCCAAGTGTCGGCCTGTCCGAGCACACGTGCAGTGGGTCACTCGCTGACTCGCAGGAGTGAACTGGTCAACCCCCCTATCCTGTAGGTCCGCTCCACTCACCAAGTTCGTAGAGAACGAGGGGAGGTAGAAGACCTGACAGGGTGCCAGAGGGGGCTGCCGGGCATGGTAAGACAGTGGAGAAGCTAGCAAGGACAGGACCCCAGAGGGGTCCGCCAGGGAGACTGCAACCGACCGACTGAGCGGCGTAAGAGTGGTGCGGTCTTGAAAGAAGGAACGGGACGCACCCGAGTCAAGGTTGAAGGTGTGTAAGGCCTTAGCCGACGCAAGTACCTGAGAAAGCAGACTCACCAGCACCTGGGGCAAACAGACGCACTAGCACCTAGAGCAGCAGCCTCACCAGCACCTAGAGCAGTGGCCTCAATGCCCGGGTCAGGCGGGGTACACAAGGTAACAGTCACCCTCAACACTAGTAGTCACAGAATACATGGCAGCAAGGATAGCATCATAGTCAAGATCAAAGATGGCAACCCCCGCCCGAGGGATCTCTGACGCCTCAGGGAAACTGGCGGACGCCACGCGTCCGTCAGGCGACCGAAGCAGCGCTGGGTGGAGTGTAGGCCCCCGCACTGCCTTCACCAGCTCGGTCGCCGGTACGGAGGACGTAGGTGCAGGGACCAGTAACCCCCACCGCGCTGACGCGCCGCTTACCACTCACGAAGCTGCTGAGGGGACAGAGTCACACCACTTCGCTCGCTGCTTCGCGCGGACCACCACCTGACCCACTCCTCTGCGCAGAGTCGCGACCCGCTCGACCCCCCGCCGCCGCCGCCGCCGCCGCGTCCGCCGCCTCCTCCACCTCCGCCTCCCTCCGCCACCTCCGCCGCCTTCCGCTCCCTCCGCCACCACCGCCCGCCTCATCCATGGACGTGGTCGTGGACGTGGATGTGGACGTGGACTTGGACGTGGAGGACGTGGACGTGGACGTGGACGTGGAGGACGTGGATGTAGATGTGGACGTGGACGTGGTTGTGGACGTGGACGTTGACGTTGGACTGTGGACGTGGACGTGGTCGTTGACGTGGAGGACTTCGACGTGGACATGGACGTGGACGTGGACATGATCGTGGACGTGGACGTGGACGTGGACGTGGTCGTGGACGTGGACGTGCACGTGGACGTAGACGTGGACGTGGTTGTAGACATGGACGTAGACATGGACGTGGATGTGGACGTGGTCGTGGTCGTGGACGTGGTCGTGGACGCGGTCGTGGACTTGGTCGTGGTCGTGGACGTGGACGTGGACGTGGTCGTGGACGTGGACGTGGACCGTGGTCGTGGACGTGGACGTGGACCTGGACGTGGTCGTGGACGTGGACGTGGACGTGGTCTTGGACGTGACATGGACGTGGACGTGGACGTGGACGTGGACCTGGACGTGGACGTTAACGTGGACGTGGACGTGGTCGTGGACGTGGACGTGGACATGGACGTGGTCGTGGTCGTGGACATGGACAGTGGACGTGGTCGTGGACGTGGACGTGGAGGACGCGGACGTGGAGGACGTGGACGTGGACGTGGAGGATGTGGACGTGGACGTGGTCGTGGACGTTGTACGTGGACTGGACGTGGACGTGGGACGTGGGACATGGACGTGGACATGTTTGTGGACGTGGACGTGGACGTGGTCGTGGACGTGGTCGTGGTCGTGGACGTGGACGTGGTCGTCCACGACGTGGACTTCGACGTGGACTTGGACGTGGACGTGGTCGTGGACGTGGACGTGGAC